GATGGGGGGGGGGGGGGGCAGCCTATGGACTTGGATCCTTACCAGCAAGTTAGTGTTACACCTGTATCTGGTGTTCCCCTACTGTAGTATCTCAGCTGTGTTCCTAGGAGCTTCTGGTTTTTTGTCCTCTAGGTACTACAACTGTCTCTTAGTAGTCCTTGCTTGTTCCCACCTTTCTCTTATAAGGAGGTTGGTATTTATTGTGAGAAATATCAGAATTGTTGAGGGTCAGGCTCTGACTATAGCAGTAGACTAATACATGAATGTATTGCCCACCTTTGTGTTACACATTGTCACTTGTCTAAGGGGTTATGCAAACCATACAGCTCTCCTCTGTAATGCATTGCACTATTCTGTGTTAATGGGGCCTTCTTAAAAAAAAAAGTCTGGATTTCAAAAAAGTCAAATGGTAATCATGCTTTTGTTTGTCTTAGACTGGAATGACTCCAGAAGAGAGTTGATCTAATTTTCCTCCTTGTATATATGAGAGCCTGGAGGGGGAAAAAAAAAATCTAATCTTATATGAGAATTTGAGACCTACCATGTCCCTGAGCTCCTGCAGAACTGAAGTGCATTTTTGTCAGCTGTGCAATTCTGGGTGTGAGGCTGAACCTGGCATCTGAAAGAGCTGGGGTGAATTGCTGTCAACCATAATGAAAGTTTACTGCTGACTTCAACTGCCCTTGGTTTTATTGCTCCATGTTGGTGCATGCGTTCAGGTTGCCAACATCCAACATGGCTGTAGTCCAACGCTAGCAGTGTTTGTCAATGTCCAAGAAAATGCAATGGGTTGTAACTAGGGTGATGAGAACTAAGCTGTAGGCTCAGCACCTCAGCTCATGAGATGGGTTTGGGTGATGGCTATGGAGGAAGCTCTCAAACTGGCATCCAGATCAACTGAATATCCAGAAAACTGAAGCTTATACCTTCTGCTGTTGCTGTTTCTACAGAAGCTGGATGGGGGCTTCCTGTGAGTTAGTCTTTACCTTGCAATGCTGCTGCCTTAACCACAGTGTTTACTGCAACACTTCATGCCTTGGTGATGCCTGCCCCCTTCCCCCCGTATTTTAAGTCCTACAGCCCAATCTTTGGCCCTTTTTGAACATCCTATGTATGTAGGTTGGTGTTTTCCGAGTAATCAACAGGTGGGTAAGTTGTCTTTTATCGGAGAAGAAAGAGCTACTGTTTATTACTTGAATATTACTTTCCTTCTAGCAGGAACATGAACTACAGCTGCAAAACCTGGTTGCAGTCATCCTAAGATCTGCAAGCTAGCCTGGAATGAATACTTCCTAGTAATGAATACTGAGCTGAATAACGAGAAGTTTTACTTTACAAGTAGCAGTTGTGACCGAATTTCCTGAAGACTTCAGTTCTAAGAGATGGCAGCCCTAAAAATCTGTTTGTAGCACTGACTGCCCAAGCAGGGAGCGAGTTCCTATCTTCAAGTTAGGTCAGGATTGTCTCAAGGAAGCTGGAGCAGAATGGGACTTGAAGTAATACATAGAGGCTCAGGTGAACAAAAGGGATAATAGATTTTCTGGGAAGCAGGAATGGGGACATTACAATAGTGAAGGGGAAACACTGTGTTTGGGACAATGTCAGAGTGAGATTTTTTTTTCCATGCATGTGCTGTGGCAGAAGTGACTAACAGCGGTGTAATGCTTGTGAGGGGAGAAAGAGGGAAGTGAGTCAGGACATGGCAAGGATCCCAGCTAGGAAGAGGTCTGTCCTGCTTCGGTGGGTCAGCAGAGAAGTAAGTACTGATGCTTGGGGAAAAAAAAAGTAGGAAAAAATTATCCTAGAGGTGGGATGTAATGTTTATTGGGAGGAATAGATAGGGTGAAGGAAAACATACAAAAGTAAAATACTTGTCTCTTCTATGCCATCCTAGCTTCCCCATCAGTAAACATGAAAGGTGTAACTACGTTAAGACCTTATAAGCATGCCTGGAATGTGAGAAACCACTCTAGAAAGGAAAAAGGCTTAAGCAGCTTTATTTCCAGACAAGCAGATTTCTTCATTAAACACAGGTGCTGCTAATCCTTTGCAGTAAATTTGCTTAATGTAGCTATGTTTTGTGGCCAAATGTGGCACTATATATTGTATGTCTATGGGAATTGTTTGTGGATAGCAAAGCTGGGGGATCAGAGCAGTCCTGGTCTAGATACTTGCTTGGATTGGGATAGTAGGAGATATGATAACTGGTAATGGGACTAAGTCCTATGTTAGGTAATAACATAAAACACCACCTGTAATGCTGGTAAATGGATAACATGCAAAGTTTGCACAAGCTGTTGAAATGTGTGTGGCAAAGTGGCACAGCACAGGTTGCTGCTGGGTTTTTGGCTTGGGTAGATGGGGAAGCATCGGTGGGCTCTGCACCATATGGCTTCAAGACTGCTGAAAGCTGTGCCCCTTTGCTGCTGTGAGGAAAACAAGGAAAGGTAAAGCCAAGCCGCTAAAGGATATGGCTATTTATATGTTGTAAGCTAGCCAAGGACAGTGAGGAAAAAAATAAGAGTGCATGCAGAATATGGGAATTTGCACCGGGAAACGGTATATCTGCTGTTGCAAGCTTAAGAAAATAAATGTTTGACTAAGGGGCAAGGACTTTACAAGGTCCTGAGGAAAGCTGGATTTGGCGATCTACAAGGTAATTATGCCCGATGAAAGATTAGACTTACTTTAGAAAATCAGAGCGACCCTGCCTCAGGAACAGATAGAGTCTCAAGCTAGCTGCATGGTCAGCAATGTTGGAAGAAGGTGCACCAAGGCACGGAGAGCCTGGTTTTCCATGGGAATGGGGCTTATTGCTGGGAAATAGCTTTCTCCTTTACCATGGAGCTGGGAGAGTCTTCTGTAGTACAGAATATTGGCATTTTACAGGAATCTTAGCACACCAGCACCGTAATTTTAGTACAAGGAAAAAATGACAGCAGGTCCATGAAAGGTGGAAATGGTGTGGGATGTGGGAAGAAGCTGGCACTAATGGAAAGAAAGGTGTAAGCCTAACACATTTGGGGTGGGAATAAATCCTATCCTCTCAGACACTTTAAAAATTTAAAATCCATCATACCATATTCTAACTATGTTTCAGCAATTAATAGGCTTACTTGTAAAGGGTGTAGAGAAGATGTATTTGCGGAAGGGGAGGATGTAGTTACCTGCAGGGTGACTTTGAAAAGAGCTCCTAAAGGAATTGCTCCGATAGAAAAGCCTGGATTTATTTTGACAGGCTATCCCAGTCAGGACTATTTCACCCCCTCCACCCTTCAGGAGGAAAGAACATGAAGTGTTTGCAGACAGCTTTTAGGAACTGCCTGTACATCTCCACTATTTTTGTTTTTCAGATGAATCTGTAAGTCCAAGCAAACTTTGCAGGAGATGGGCTCAGAGCAATTGCTCTGGGGGAGGGTGGAAAAAAGTGGTGGGGACTAAACTCCCAGTGATAAATGTGAGTGATGCAGTTTCCATGGGGGATGTGCTGTGAAGTTCAAGCTGAGCCCCGCCCTGTTTTTGTACAAGTTCTGAACACAGGTGCTTGCAAGCCTTTGCAGAGACAGCTGCCTAGCAAGCCTCCAGCTGGTAGGCAATGATACAAGCAATGCAGGGGCTCTTTCTAAATACTACAGCACCTTTTTTTTTTATTTTTCACTGCTAGCCCACTGCTGGCAAGAGGCTGATAACATGGAGGCAGGCGATGGTCTGAGCACCCTGGGAGGATGGGTGTGCTGCGCAGCAGTGGAAGCAGTCTGAGGAGCCAGGTGCTTCGCAGCAGAGTAAACAAGTCCCTGCAGCCACTCCTGCTGCCCAGGAGGGACACCCTGTGAGCCCCAGGGGGGCTGGGGGCTGCTGTCCCTGGGTGAGAGTTGCTGCTCTAGCTAAGGAGCACAAGCACTAACT